CAATTACCACTCGGCTCCGACTCGGCACAGACTGGATACGTTGACGAAGTCGCTCTTGCGGAATTCTTTCCCCCACTCTTCCTGCAATGTGATGTCCAGTTGTGGAGGCGTGTTTTGACGTTGACGTACACGTCGATCGAGTTCATCCCACAGGTGTTCAATCGGGTTTAGATTTGGTAATCAGAAAGGCCATGGCAAGACATTGACGTTAGAATTAGCAATGTAGCGGACCGTGACGCGTGCTGTATCCCAAAGGCGAGATATGGTGCTCTGATGAACGTTGAAATGTCGGACAACTGCAGATTGCGACTCCCCAGCTTCAAGGCAGCATATGGCGATGTTTCGATTGGCGGCACTCAGTCATAGCAGGATGGTTTCCTCTTTTTCGAATGACAAAATTAAACACAACGTTTGCCTTTTTATAGCGATCGATACCGCATACTTTTCCGCATACTTGCACGTGCATTTTCCTTTGCATGTTTTCTTGACATTTTTCGCGAATATTTCTTCAAACGCTTCTAAAACAAGGGAATAAGTTAAAATTGTCGCGTTTTGGCACTGAGGCTGTTAATAATCACATACAGATGACGTTTTGGAAAGAAATAATATATTTGTATTGTTTTTGCCGCAGCTTCAAGAATCGAATTTTCTCAAAATCACCTGTGCGTTTCTGTTTTTATAGAGTGTATGTTAAGTGCGCCAGTCTACCTTCACTTTGTCACCACCTCGAACAGTATGTCAGTCATGCCACGGCGTCTCAGCTTGGGGAAAGCCCGATGACCTGAAGGTGTTACACGTTCACCACTTGAGTGAAACCCTTGGGTATGGTGCTGACAAACATAACCACAGCGAAACAGGATTCGAATCTCTCAACCATATGTTACTGGCACATCCAAGGGACGATTCTTTAATAAATTACGACATTTTAAAAGATGATAATCAGTATTGAAATTGACATTTGGCGATTTAAGCTGTATGCAAATTTTATCACGATAATACAATGTATATACATGTAACCCTCTGACTGGTGAGGGGTATAATCAATTCGTGGCCCAATGGTCCCTCGTTTGACATAGATTAAGTTACCTCCACCTTTTGTTTATGTCCTCCGTGACAACTTGGTCGGTGGACAACTTACAGTAACACAATGTAATGGGAATGGAAAACAATTGTTATTTCCTTTTGCCAACAAGAAGCAGTAGTAAAATCGTTTCCAAATGACAAAAGAGCTTGTCTTGCCAATTCACTGTCCACGGGATAGATATTTCTCTCTTGATTATGGCAGTGACATCAGTGTCGAGGCGGTAGTAATGTTGTTTTTGTTTTTACTTTCTAGATTCAGTATTCAAGGCGGTCACAGCTCGCCTGTTCACGTCCCCCAGAAACGTGACAACTTCGAGGACACGTCTGCACTGTGCAGTCAAATGTCTTCGGTTGCAGGGATGTCAGAACTTTCACTACAAGCGTACCCAGAACAACAACCCGATCTGTGAACTTAATGGCGCTTTGCGAAAACTCCCCATGACTTCTGTCTCCCAGGGAAACGTGTACGCCGTGCTCAACTGACTCTTCAAGATACGTCTTTCAGATCACCATGACAACTGACTCATTAGAACTCGTCTTATTATTTTACGTGTTTCAGGTCATCGGGCCACTGTCCCAATCAAACACGTGTTTCAGGTCATCGGGCCACTGTCCCAATCAAACACGTGTTTCGGGTTACCGGGCCACTGTCCCAATCAAACACGTGTTTCAGTTCATCGGACCACTGTCCCAATCAAACACGTATTTCAGGTCATCGGGCCACTGTCCCAATCAAACACGTGTTTTGGGTTATCGGGCCACTGTCCCAATCAAACACGTGTTTCAGGTCATCGGGCCACTGTCCCAATCAAACACGTGTTTTGGGTTATTGGGCCACTGTCCTATTAAAACACATGTTTCGGGTTATTTGGCCACTGTCCCGTTAAAACATGTTTCGGGTTATCGGGCCACTGTCCCATTAAAACACGTGTTTCGGGTTATCGGGTTATCGGGCCACTGTCCCATTAAAACACGTGTTTCAGGTTATCGGGTCACTGTAGTAGTAAAACACGTGTTTCGGGTTACCGGACCACTGTACTAGTAAAACACGTGTTTCGGGTTATCGGGTTATCGGGTCACTGTAGTAGTAAAACATGTGTTTCGGGTTACCGGACCACTGTAGTAGTAAAACACGTGTTTCGGGTCATCGGTTCACTGTCACGTTAAAACACGTGTTTCGGGTCATCGGTTCACTATCCCATTGAAACATGTGTTTCGGTTTATTGGGCTACTGTCCCGATTAAAACATGTGTTTCGGGTTATCGGGCCACTGTCCTATTAAAACATGTGTTTCCGGTTATCGGGCCACTTTCCTATTAAAACACGTGTTTCCAGTTATCGGGACACTTTCCTATTAAAACACGTGTTTCCAGTTATCGGGCCACTTTCCTATTAAAACACGTGTTTCCGGTTATCGGGCCACTTTCCTATTAAAACACGTGTTTCTGGTTATCGGGCCACTTTCCCATTAAAACACGTGTTTCCGGATATTGGGCCAGTTTCCTATTAAAACACGTGTTTCCGGTTACCGGGCCACTTTCCCATTAAAACACGTGTTTCCGGTTATCGGGCCTCTTTCCTATTAAAACACGTGTTTCCGGATATTGGGCCAGTTTCCTATTAAAACACGTGTTTCCGGTTATCGGGACACTTTCCTATTAAAACACGTGTTTCCGGTTATCGGGACACTTTCCTATTAAAACACGTGTTTCCGGTTATCAGGAAACTTTCCTATTAAAACACGTGTTTCCGGTTATCGGGACACTTTCCTATTAAAACACGTGTTTCCGGTCATCATTGACCCACCAATACACGTTTCTCAGTTCACCTTGGCCACCGTGTTATATCACGTCTTTCAAGTGATCGTTACCACTGATTCATTAGGACACGTCATTCAAGTGGTCATGTGTCTGTTTTTCTCCTGCAAGTGGACACATGATTTTCGGACGTTTTTATCGTTGGTTTGCTGACATCATGTCCATGATTATTAGTTAGTTACATGCATCGTTCTGGACGTCCTCCCTCGTTAGGCGGGCATGTTGCAGTATAACTGGTAATCTCTTATACGCTGCGTCAAAGCCGATTTACTCACTCAATCGTTTGACTAACTTTTAAACTTTTGAATTCTTAAAGAATGAAACCGAAGGAATGCATTGATACGCCTTCTGGAGACACGCGATTACGTTGTTATATATACGTTCTAGTTTAAATAAATAAACTGTCACACACATGTCTGGTGGAGTTGTTAGTTGCTCACAGGGCAGCTGAGTCGACCACTGTAAAATGTGTCAAGCTGTTCACACAAAATAGATTACACCCAAACTTAGACACCAGCAGTGGTTAGATTCCTGCATGTGGTTTCTCTGAACCAAGAGTGTTGAAATCAAAGGTAATTATGTTGAAAATTAAAACCGGCAATAGTGTCAGTGTAATCAGGACAAAACCGGCAATATAGTCAGTGTCAGGACAAAACCGGCAATATATAATCAGTGTCACGACAAAACCGGCAATATAGTCAGTGTCAGGACAAAACCGGCAATATAGTCAGGGTTCGACAAAACCGGCAAAATAGTCAGTGTCAGGACAAAACCGGCAATATAAGTCAGTGTCACGACAAAACCGGCAATATGAGTCAGTGTCAGGACAAAACCGGCAATATAGTCAGTGTCACGACAAAACCGGCAATATAAGTCAGTGTCAGGACAAAACCGGCAATATAAATCAGTGTCAGGACAAAACTGGCAATATAGTCAGTGTCAGGACAAACTGGCAATATGTCAGGACAAAACCGCCAATATAGTCAGTGTCAGGACAAAACCAATATGGTCAGTGTCAATATGGTCAGTGTCAGTCAGTGTCAGGACAAACCGGCAATATAAGTCAGTGTCAGTGACAAAACCGGCAATATGGTCAGTGTCACGACAAAACCGGCAATATGGTCAGTGTCAGGACAAAACCGGCAATATGGTCAGTGTCACGACAAAACCGGCAATATAAGTCAGTGTCAGGACAAAACCGGCAATATAGTCAGTGTCAGGACAAAACCGGCAATATAAGTCAGTGTCAGGACAAAACCGGCAATATAGTCAGTGTCAGGACAAAACTGGCAATATAGTCAGTGTCAGTGTCAGGACAATAAAGTGTCAGGACAAAACCGCAATATAGTCAGTGTCAGGACAAAACCGGCAATATAAGTCAGTGTCAGGACAAAACCGGCAATATGGTCAGTGTCAGGACAAAACCGGCAATATGGTCAGTGTCAGGACAAAACCGGCAATATAGTCAGTGTCAGGACAAAACCGGCAATATAGTCAGTGTCAGGACAAAACCGGCAATATGGTCAGTGTCAGGACAAAACCGGCAATATAGTCAGTGTCAGGACAAAACCGGCAATATGGTCAGTGTCAGGACAAAACAGTGTCGGACAATAGTAAGTCAGTGTCAGGACAAAACCGGCAATATGGTCAGTGTCAGGACAAAACCGGCAATATAAGTCAGTGTCAGGACAAAACCGGCAATATAGTCAGTGTCAGGACAAAACCGGCAATATAGTCAGTGTCAGGACAAAACCGGCAATATGGTCAGTGTCAGGACAAAACCGGCAATATAGTCAGTGTCACGACAAAACCGGCAATATGGTCAGTGTCAGGACAAAACCGGCAATAAAGTCAGTGTCAGGACAAAACCGGCAATATGGTCAGTGTCAGGACAAAACCGGCAATATGGTCAGTGTCAGGACAAAACCGGCAAATATACAGGACAACGGGTATGGTAACAACTTTATTGAACAATATGGTCAGTTGTCAGGACAAAACCGGCAATATGTAAACAAGTGTCAGGACAAAACTGGCAATATAGTCAGTGTCAGGACAAAACTGGCAATATGGTAAGTGTCAGGACAAATATACAACAACGGGTATGGTAACAACTTTATTGAACAAGTTGTCTGTAAACAACAAGAAACAAACGTTAGAGTCCCTAACACAATGACGTTCATTCCGTGCTGATACCTCAGTCGCTGCCTCACAACATCTTCGACAAGAATTTCAGCCTCAGCTGAAGAAGAGACTCGGCTAACGTGCTGCCAGACTTCGACTGATGGTCACCGTCATCCTGAAATTGATTGAACGAATAAAGAACTTCACGTTGTAACAAAAGGTCTAATAAGAGTACATTACTTCTAGACTGGAAATAAAACAAACATACCATACACATTGCTTTATGCACATAAGTGTACAGCAGCAAACTGCATGAGACCTGAGTTAACTGAAGTAGGTCCGTGACATTTTAGGCGACTGTTGGCTCGACATGCCTGCGACATTACTGTACAACTCTTGGCTGGAGCTGCACGTTGCACCATACAACTGAGGTCACTTGACATTACTGAACAGGTCATCCACGTGACATACTGTCAGCTGTTCACAGGTCATCCACGTGACATTACTGTCAGCTGTTCACAGGTCATCCACGTTGCATTACTGTCAGCTGTTCAATGGTCATCCATGTGACATTACTGTCAGCTGTTCAATGGTCATCCACGTGACATTACTGTTAGCTGTTCACAGGTCATCCACGTGACATTACTGTTAGCTGTTTACAGGTCATCAACGTGACATTACTGTCAGCTGTTCACAGGTCATCCACGTCACATTACTGTCAGCTGTTCACAGGTCATCCACGTGACATTACTGTCAGCTGTTCACAGGTCATCAACGTGACATTACTGTCAGCTGTTCACAGGTCATCCACGTCACATTACTGTCAGCTGTTCAATGGTCATCAACGTCACATTACTGTCAGCTGTTCACAGGTCATCCACGTCACATTACTGTTAGCTGTTCAATCGTCATCCACGTGACATTACTGTCTGCTGTTCAATGCTGTTCACAGGTCATGGTCATCAACTTGACATTACTGTCAGCTGTTCACAGGTCATCCACGTGACATTACTGTCAGCTGTTCACAGGTCATCCACGTGACATTACTGTCAGCTGTTCACATGGTCATCCACGTGACATTACTGTCAGCTGTTCACAGGTCATCCACGTGACATTACTGTCAGCTGTTCAATGGTCATCTACGTTGCATTACTGTCAGCTGTTCACTGATCATCAACGTCACATTACTGTCAGCTGTTCACAGGTCATCAACGTGACATTACTGTCAGCTGTTCACAGGTCATCCACGTCACATTACTGTTAGCTGTTCACAGGTCATCCGCGTTGGGCAACCTTAGGCAGGCCCTGAACGTGGCAGTACTGTGCAACTGTTGCCAGGTCCTCCACCTGATATTACTGTCAACTGTTCACAGGTCTTGCACGCGGCGTTAGTGACACCAGTAGACAGGCCCGACACACAAGAGCGGGCGCCGCGCTGTCACTCGATAACTCGATGTATGTTCATGACATAACGTTACTGAAATCTGAGCTGGGGGAGCCGCATCATGATACATAGACGTAAACGTGCACAAAACAATGCATACTAATGACCATAATATAACCAAATATACGTGTAAAGGCTGCTTACTGGTAAACCAGGAAATAAAGAAACATATAAAGGGCATGCGTGAAAAGCAATCGACCGTCTATTCTCGATCCACGCTGTTCGAGTTCCACCCACCAAGTCACCAGCCTCACCAACCTCACCAACCTCACCAGCCTGTCCATGTGTACACCCTTTACGTCAAACATAGGTTGGTGGATATCGGGGTGCTGTTGTACAAAGCAATCATAAGGATAAAGTGATTGTAACTCCCATACCCTAACACAGACTTACGATTGGCGCGCTATAAGGTTGTACAACGGTACCCTGTTCTAACCCAAGTTTTAAGGGCTACAAACATGCATCCTAGTCGTATCGCCTGACATACCATGAACCAATATGTGGGATCTCGCCCGCGTTTCTTCTGACACACCAATGTTTATTACACTTATCGACATGTGCTGTTTGCTGTTACCGTAAGACGCGGGAGAGATCCTGTTCAGAATCCAACAAAAGTTCAACAACTACATGCTTCACCGCTCGTATAAGGTATAGCTTGAACTCTTCTAGGTACAGTGAGACTAAGTTTTTTTTAACACATTATGGACAACAAAATCCTTTTTTCCTGAGGGCGTCGAGGGTGTTAAAGACGTTTTTATCCACAACGCTAGTTATTATTGTACTCCTCAATAATGCTTCAGAATTGTCTGAACATCGAGTTAGGTTTTTGGATTGATTATAGTTGCAAACGGGGTACGATGTAAGCCATGCACAGTCAGTCAGCACTGTGTTGAACGGTGTAAGTCAATTCTAAAGGCAACATACTGCTATGGATGAACTGTTTGACAGGAAGCTAGTTGGTCATCTCACTCACTATTGTGGTTCAAGCTGTATCTCTACGAGCGGTCACGTGTGGCTAGCTACAGCGACTACATGCTATACTACAGAAATAATATGTAAGCAGGTAAAATGACAACTCAAATATTACATCGCACTAGGAGAGCTTTCTATTGACAAAAACTTTAATCCATTCCCTTCATCTCAAATTAGTACAGTCTGGCACATTCATTCATTCATTCATTCATTCATTCATTCATTCATTGTGCATATGGCAGTGCGCAAGGGGCATGAAACAGATCAGTCTGAAAGTAGTATACTACGTAGGAGGGTGTTAGGTCAGATATAACGGCAATCTGGCAGTTATGTTAGTGAAATCCTTAATCCAGACGTTATCATAACGAACGGATTAACAAATGTTTTGATTAAAGAGTGAGTTTAGTTTTACGCCGCACTCACCAATATTCCAGTATATGGCGGCGGTCTGTAAATAAACGAGTCTGGACCAGACAATCCAGTGATCAACAGCATGAGCATCGATCTAAGCAATTGGGATACTTTGACACGTGTCAGCCTCATCAGCGAACCTGACCACCCGATCCTGTTAGTCGCCTCTTACGACAAGCATGGGTTACTGAAGATCAATATTCTGACCCGGGTCTTCATGGGTATTGATTAACGTGTCCTGGGTTGGTCGTTTCCCGCACCTGGATTGTCAGGAATCCGGCCTAAAGAGGTTCCATGAATGTGACAATTATTGTCGACTTAACACACGTTGATATTGAGCTACATAGTGTCCCCTTAACTGTGTGGGATTCTCAAGAGTTAGGCTGTACTAGAAAGATTTGCAATGTGCATCGAAGAAACAGATGTATTTCACAAACGAAAATGGTTCAGGAACCGACCAAGTGGGATGTTTGTTGGAAACAGGATATTTGTCACTTCGGTATTTCAAACACGCAGTTCTTATTTTCGCTGAAATAAGCCAAACATGTTAACTGTATTTCAAAACATACACTTGTACACGATATCAGACATGTCTAATAATGTACCTTAAGGGTAAAGCCTGTTATGTTTCAGGTTTTCTCAATAACATGGCCAGTCCCTAAGCCTCCGGTATGAATGTTCCAGCTAATGTCATGCCCGTGTTTCAAATGGGCGCATCTCGCTGCCACCAATGTGTGCGTTTAGAACGTGCACGTGCATGAAGACACCAACAAGCACAAATAATGTCACCTATACTCAAATTTCCTTTCAATATTTGTAACAATGTCCTCCTTTAATGACAACCATTTAATAATATTCTCCCACAATTACAACCGATTGTCATGTTCCTTCAGCAATGACAAACAACAGTTTCTGTCAATCTAGTCCCACGACAACCGTCACCTTCCTTAACTTATATGCAAATGTTTAACAAGCAAATGTTTAACAATCTAGTCCCACGACAACCGTCTTCCTTAACTTATATGCAAATGTTTAACAATCTAGTCCCACGACAACCGTCACCTTCCTTAACTTATATCCAAATGTTTAACAATCTAGTCCCACGACAACCGTCACCTTCCTTAACTTATATCCAAATGTTTAACAATCTAGTCCCACGACAACCGTCACCTTCCTTAACTTATATCCAAATGTTTAACAATCTAGTCCCACGACAACCGTCACTTTCCTTAACTTATATCCAAATGTTTAACAATCTAGTCCCACGACAACCGTCACCTTCCTTAACTTATATCCAAATGTTTAACAATCTAGTCCCACGACAACCGTCACTTTCCTTAACTTATCCAAATGTTTAACAATCTAGTCCCAAACGACAACCGTCACTTTCCTTAACTTATATCCAAATGTTTAACAATCTAGTCCCACGACAACCGTCACTTTCCTTAACTTATATCCAAATGTTTAACAATCTAGTCCCACGACAACCGTCACTTTCCTTAACTTATATCCAAATGTTTAACAATCTAGTCCCACGACAACCGTCACCTTCCTTAACTTATATCCAAATGTTTAACAATCTAGTCCCACGACAACCGTCACTTTCCTTAACTTATATCCAAATGTTTAACAATCTAGTCCCACGACAACCGTCACCTTCCTTAACTTATATCCAAATGTTTAACAATGTCTTCCCATAATGACAACCGATTGTAAATCTCTACACACAATGACAACCGATTGTAAATAACTTCCCACAATGACAACCGATTGTAAATCTTTCCCATAATGACAACCGATTGTCAGTCTCCTCCCTCAGTGACAACCAATTGTAAATCTCATCCCGCAATGGCAACCAATTGTAAATCTGACCATAAATTACAAACATGTATCGATATTCTCCCACAATCACAGCTGGTTGGCATTCTTTAACGTTAATCTACTCCCATAAAGACAACCGACTGTCAATCGTAATGACACACTTAATGACAACTAGCTATCTCTCCCCATGACAACGGAGTGTCAATTTCCACAAGGGTTTATGACCCTCCTCTAAAACAACAAATGTTTAATGTTTGTCAATCTCCCTCCACAGCTGGTTGTCATTCTACAACGTCAATCTACTCCCCCAAAGACAACCGATTGTGTATCGTAATCAGGGGTGGATCCAGAGGAAAATTCCCTCAGGAGCAGGTCCACCTACCCTTTGGACTTCATGATTTATGTGCACCCCCCACCCCCACCCCTCTCCCAAATCCCGGATCCGCCCCTGTTAATGACACACATAATGACAACCAGCTGTCAATATTGCACAACCACAATCCATAACGTGCCCCGAACGAACAGTTACCGCTTATATATTGTTAGATATTCCCTCTCCATTGGCATCCTGAAAAAAATGTATCATGATAATCCAACGATCCTACACCCACAAGGGGTGATGATGAAAGGGGATCTACAATATCGTTCGTGAGGAAAGAGTTCTCAGTTCTTTAATTTCACAAATTGCAAGCTATATAACGTCGTTCTGTAAATAATCTAGACCAGACAATCAAGTGATTACCTTCATATCTAAACAAATGGGATACGATGGCATACATCAATCAAGTCAGCGAACCAGGGCCCCGTTCCACAAAGGGATCGTAGCGCTAAGATGATCGTAACTCCCATACTTTAACATTGACTTACGACAGTCGTAGCGCTACGACGGCTCTGAGGAACGGGGTCCTGACCGACTTGTTAGTCCTCAGAGTTTTGAAAAACAGGTACATACACTACCGACAAAGGTAAGCGAACTAATGTTTGAATGGTGATTCGGAAACCACAGTGTGCGCGTCTATGGGGTACCTGACAGTCAATAATGCCATTGAGCTAAGCGACCCACGGGAAGGCGTCCCAGGAAGGGAGTCGTCCTGACTACTTATTACATTCAGCAAAGAGAGGCGCGGGCTGTACTGCAACATTTTTTTGGCGTTACGTCATGTTTACAAATCATTCAAAGTTTACCTCCAATTCACAAATTTTGACGACATAGCGGTCTGCCAGGGCATTGGTTCTTGACCATGACAGGTAAGGGTTAGTGACCGGACGGTAGTGTCGTCCAGAAGACGAACTGATTTGGTTATTGTGAATGGACATTTGCCTGGCCATCGGTAATTCGACGAAACATTTCGCCCTGCCTTTGTACCATTCGATAGACCTATCGGCAGAAATTTTGAACAGTATGATGAAAATGACAGACCACATCAGAACAGGTCGTCATCAAACATCCCCGGAGAGAAGGCATACTGACAATGGAGTGAGTGAGTGAGTTTAGTTTTACGCCGATTTTAGCAATATTCCAGCAATATCACGGCGGGGGACACCAGAAATGGGCTTCACACATTGTACCCGTGTGGGGACTCGAACCCGGGTCTTCGGCGTGACGAGCGAACGCTAGGCTCTCCCACCGCCCCACTGACAATGGAAGGGCACGCTAAACCCCCAGACATGTCCCATATAAAACACCTGCGGGGTGTTGTGAGCCGTGAGCAGGCACCAGAAGTCAAGCACCCACCAACATGGCCCATGGGGTCGCTCCTCAGGCTCAATGGAGGCCAATACAAAGGACAACCACACCCAGGTCAACAAACAGCACGCCATCAGAGTGTTGAGCTGGCATCACCAAAACATTGACGTACATGTCCAAATATAATCTTATCATCACTACGCACACACTACCATATCTGCAGTTCCATTAATGTGTGAAGCCCATTTCTGGTGTCCCCCGCCGTGATGTTGCTGGAATATTGCTAAAAGCGGCGTAAAACCAAACTCAGTCAGTCAGTCAGTCAGTCAGTCAGTTCCATTACACGTTGTCGGTAGTATATATCCCGGATCTTCAAGGGTTCCCCTAGTGATATCAGTACACAATTGCTTCACTTCCCCAAGCAGTGCGATCATGACTGAGTGGTGTTAACCCCGCCCCGACAGAAAGAAACTGTGCATTGTGAACCAGTACCAACCCCATGTTATGGGGTCGTAAGAAAATTCTATCCCTCCGAAAATTCAAGATGCTACTCTAGCGTCTCCCTAACCCAAAATGGTGCTGTTGTGTGAATGTCACTTACAATCTGTACAAGCGAGAAAAACAAATGAATATGAAAAGGCAATATGCACATTCCCATACGTTTCCTACGGAGATTTGTGTTGTATGTACAGAGAAGGAAAGCCCGTGCTGTGTTGTGCTGGACACTCACCCTTGTATCCTGTCTCTGGTTAAACATGATGATAACACACGACATTAATACAATGTACAAAAATAACCTCAAATGAATTAACAATGGTTTCTTATCACTGCTTGAACATTCAGGACAGAAATACACAAACACTTAACTACAGATATTCCCGATAAAACGATAACAGTTATGGTCAGAATGCTAAAAATGTATCTTTAAGTGGCCGACTACATGGAAGTATCGTGTTTCAAAATTCTAGATCAGTTAAAAAAAGATGTATATCAATTTGCAATTAAGCAATGACACAAACTATCGCTTGAGCCACTGAATGCAACCAGCGAAAGTTTTTAATTCATGTTACCACGAAGTCGAATAAGTCGACGTATGTAAGACTACCCTTTTCCATCGTAACCTATCCCCTATAACTGATTCACACTGATTCAGTGAGTCCCGAGTTGACTGAAGTGTAATACAAAATTTGTTTCTCCCTTCGCTTCATTTTAATGCCTGCTTTACCTTCTCATTTTCTTGCGTATTTCAACATATCCCTCCGCAATGTACTTCTACGTACCTTTTTCTCATTTTTCACCTGATTATAATCAGGGTTATAGTTCCGAGGACCATTGCGCATGTGCTCCGGCTTGACCTTTGTACCATACATGGTCAGAGAGACGCCATTCACTGAGCCAGAGTTGTCGTTTCCTGACTGCAACCATAGAAACTGTATCAAGCGTCTGTATAAATAAGTCCAATATGACAAGCCATTAGGTTGATTTGTACTGGTAATCAGTGGTTTCAAATTGTTGGTTAACAGTTTGTCAAATGTTTCATTAAATGTTACCATTAACTGGTTTGTGAATGGGAGATGTGGAATACTGCGCAGTAAAGCATATTTAAAACAAACTGAAAGATATTGTTATTGGATACATCCATACATATCCATGCAATTAGTACATGCTCAAGTCGCTGGTATTTTATTCCCTCGATCATTGGATGTCAATCTCAACTCCCAATTGGCAAGGTAAAATTATGGGAGTCATATTGAGATTTACTTTTTGTTTAAAGCGTTTTCTCATCCTTACGAGGTACCCATTCACAGCTGGGTGGACTGGGACACAGTCACAGTACTTTGTCCAAGTTCACTGCACGTTGCTGTACCTGCAACTAGGTGTTTGCACGTATTCATGTGGCCACCATCAGGTCATATACCAACGGATTCGTAGGTTCTTTTAAGTGCACAGGGTTGTGTACTGTACACTAGGGGTTGTGACAACACTGAAAGAGTCTGCACACAAAGTTGACTCCAAGGTTTTTACACCCGGTAACAGGTGGGCTCGATCCGGGCACCTCAAGGTCGCTTGATCACTAGCCTGGAGCTTTAGTCAAGTTGCCCACCATGCTCTATATAACAACTATTTTCCGGTCGCGGCAACTTGCAGTACATTTGAGTCGAAGTGGGTATAACGAACTACGGTTATACCGAACTAAATTAGTGGCCTGTGGAGTCCATCACAACCGCAGTTACTGTAATTTAGCTTGCCTAAGATAACTAGACACGTCGGTGACCACATACTTGAGACATCCTCCTTCAAGTGGTTGACAATCAGTTACTCAAATAAAAACTCCAGAACACTGCGTTCTTGCGTAAATTACGCATAAAATATCCATGTAAGTGTGAGTGGCTCGATGACAAATACGAATGAAAATGTCACAACCCGGTGCACCTTTCAGCAAGCGTAAATGGCGCATCTCTGCACGTCTTTACATGAACGCAGTGGTTTACACAGATATCCTTGCCAATTGAAAATATCTTCACTAATGTTAAATTTCATTAATAGTCTGTTATTGAAACTTATTACTGAACAATGTATTGTTAAATAATGCGGCCTCCTAAAACTGTGAAATACTGGTATGGAAGGGACGGAGATGGTACCGTGTCCTCGAAAATGAGTTTCCACGTCCCCCTAGGGGACTCCCCCCACGTGTGCACGGACATGAGGGGCCAGTGTTTGTAGCCGCTGCTGGAGCTGTCGTAGGTACGCCGGGACAGCAGCATCGTCTTCGTACCTGGAAACAACGCACAGTTTTGTTGAAATAGGATAAATGTCTATACCGAATTGCTTCCTATTCATGTTCTCATTTGGTCATTCCTGGTTCCCCAGTACCGCCTTCCTCCCACCATTAGCCTTTCTGCCTACCATTGTCCCATGATGCCTTCCTCCCACCATTAGCCTTTCTGCCTACCATTGTCCCATGATGCCTTCCTCCCACCATTAGCCTTTCTGCCTACCATTGTCCCATGATGCCTTCCTCCCACCATTAGCCTTTCTGCCTACCATTGTCCCATGATGCCTTCCTCCCACCATTAGCCTTTCTGCCTACCCCTGTCCCATGATGCCTTCCTCCCACCATTAGCCTTTCTTGCCTCCCATTGTCCCATGATGCCTCCCACCATTAGCCTTTCTGCCTACCCCTGTCCCATGATGCCTTCCTCCCACCATTAGCCTTTGTCCCATGATGCCTTCCTCCCACCATTAGCCTTTCTGCCTACCCTGTCCCATGGTGACTTCTTCGCACCATAAGCCTTTCTGCCTACCGCTGTCCCATGATGCCTTCCTCCCACCATTAGCCTTTCTGCCTACCATTGTCCCATGATGCCTTCCTCCCACCATTAGCCTTTCTGCCTTACCATGTCCCATGGTGACTTCCTCGCACCATAAGCCTTTCTGCCTACCGCTGTCCCATGATGCCTTCCTCCCACCATTAGCCTTTCTGCCTACCATTGTCCCATGATGCCTTCCTCCCACCATTAGCCTTTCTGCCTACCAGTTTGTCCCATGATGCCTGTCCCTCCCACCATTAGCCTTTCTGCCACCATGTCCCATGATGCCTTCCCTCCCACCATTAGCCTTTCTGTTGTCCCATGATGCCTTCCTCCCACCATTAGCCTTTCTGCCTACCATTGTCCCATGATGCCTTGCCTTCCTCCCACCATTAGCCTTTCTGCCTACCATTGTTGATGCCTTTCTAGCCTTTCTGCCTACCATTGTCCCATGATGCCTTCCTCCCACCCAGCCTTTCTGCCTACCGTTGTCCCATGATGCCTTCCTCCCACCATTAGCCTTTTTACCTGCCTTCCCCTGTCCCATGATGCCTTTAGCATTAGCCTTTCTGCCTACCATTGTCCCATGATGCCTTCCTCCCACCATTAGCCTTTCTGCCTACATTGTCCCATGATGCCTTCCTCCCACCATTAGCCTTTCTGCCTACCGTTGTCCCGTGATGCCTTCCTCCCACCATTAGCCTTTCTACCTACTGTTGTCCCGTGATGCCTTCCTCCCACCATTAGCCTTTCTGCCTACCATTGTCCCATGATGCCTTCCTCCCACCATTAGCCTTTCTGCCTACCATTGTCCCATGATGCCTTCCTCCCACCATTAGCCTTTCTGCCTAGCCTACTGTTGTCCCATGATGCCTTCCTCCCACCTTTTAGCCTTTCTGCCTCACACCATTAGCCTTTCTACCTACCGTTGTCCCGTGATGCCTTCCTCCCACCATTAGCCTTTCTGCCTACCATTGTCCCCCATGATGCCTGCCTTCCTCCCACCATTAGCCTTCTGCCTACCATTGTCCCATGATGCCTTCCTCCCACCATTAGCCTTTCTGCCTTGTCCCATGATGCCTTCCTCCCACCATTCCTCCCACCAGCTGTTAGCCTCCCACCATTAGCCTTTCTACCTACCGTTGTCCCATGATGCCTTCCTCCCACCATTAGCCTTTCTGCCTACCGTTGTCCCGTGATGCCTCCTCCCACCATTAGCCTTTCTGCCTACCGTTGTCCCGTGATGCCTTCCCTCCCACCATTAGCCTTTCTACCTACTTGTCCCGTGATGCCTTCCTCCCACCATTAGCCTTTCTGCCTACCGTTGTCCCGTGATGCCTTCCTCCCACCATTGATGCCTGTCCCGTGATGCCTTCTCCACCATTAGCCTTTCTGCCTACCTGTCCCTGATGCCTTCCTCCCACCATTAGCCTTTCTGCCTACCCTTGTCCCATGATGCCTTCCTCCCACCATTAGCCTTTCTGCCTACCGCTGTCCCATGATGCCTTCCTCCCACCATTAGCCTTTCAGCCTACCGCTGTCCCATGATGCCTTCCTCCCACCATTAGCCTTTCAGCCTACCGCTGTCCCGCGATGCCTTCCTCCCACCATTAGCCTTTCTGCCTACCGCTGTCCCGTGATGCCTTCCCCCACCATTAGCCTTCAACAACCATTATTTACAAGCTCCAGCCAACAACATTACCCACTTGCTCAAGTCAACAACCATTTATTTAGAGACTCCAGTCAACGACATTACCCAGTTGCTGCAGACAACGACCATTATTCACTTGTTCCAGAAAACGAAGTTTGTTCACTCCCTCGATTCAACGAACCTTATCCACTTGCCCAAATCAACACTCGATATTCATTCGCACCAGTGGTAGCTCAATATTTTGTTGCTAGAAACAACGAACGTGATTCACTTCCTCAAGTCAACAGCCGTATCAACGCCCATTATTTCTGAACTCACTTGCGACTTTCGTAATTCACTCGTTCCACCAACCCGTGTTACGCACCTGATGGGGAGACGAGGTAGAGGGAGAGATCGCCCCTCTTGGTATAATCGGCACTGAGGGTGAGAATCACGTGCTCCAGGAAGTTTATCTCATTGTCTTGATCCACACATCCGGAAGTTAAAATCTCAATCTCCAGCATCTTACCCCCCTCCACCGACTGCAATCTCCTGCAACATAGAGTAATATATGAAATATTTAATAAGCACATACAGAGCGCTTGAAATACGTGTGGGTATACACACATGTACAACACATCAGACGTGGTCACCAAACTCATGGAATATGGAATACGGTATCCAGGTAGACATGGAACTGACATCTGGAACACATCATCTACGTGCACTCATGTAGTTATCCCTGTGTACTCGCGAACTGATCCCTGCGTACTCGAGAACTGATCCCTGCGTACTCGTGAACTGATCCCTGCGTACTCACGAACTGATCCCTGTGTACTCGCGAACTGATCCCTGCGTACTCGTGAACTGATCCCTGCGTACTCGCGAACTGATCCCTGTGTACTCGCGAACTGATCCCTGCGTACTCGCGAACTGATCCCTGCGTACTCGTGAACTGATCCCTGCGTACTCACGAACTGATCCCTGTGTACTCGCGAACTGATCCCTGCGTACTCGCGAACTGATCCCTGCGTACTCGTGAACTGATCCCTGCGTACTCGTGAACTGATCCCTGCGTACTCGTGTAATGGTGTCACTCGTGAACTGATCCCTGCGTACTCGCGAACTGATCCCTGCGTACTCACGAACTGATCCCTGCGTACTCACGAACTGATCCCTGCGTACTCGCGGACTGATCCCTGCATACTCGTGTAATGATATCTGTACTCGTGTAATGGTGTGTGTGTGTACTCGTGTAATGATATCTGTACTCGTGTAATGGTGTGTGTGTGTGTGTGGTGTGTACTCGTGTAATGATATCTGTACTCGTGTAATGGTGTGTGTGTGTGTGTGTGTACTCGTGTAATGATATCTGTACTCGTGTAATGGTGTGTGTGTGTACTCGTGTAATGATATCTGTACTCGTGTAATGGTGTGTGTGTACTCGTGTAATGGTGAGTGTACTCGTGTAATGGTGAGTGTACTCGTGTAATGATATATGGTGAGTGTAATCGTGTAATGTACTCGTGTAATGGTGAGTATGAACCGTGTAATGGTGAGTGTGTGTACTCGTGTAATGATATCTGTAATCGTGTACTCGTGTAATGATATCTGTACTCGTGTAATGGTGTGTGTGTACTCGTGTAATGGTGAGTGTACTCGTGTAATGGTGAGTGTACTCGTGTAATGATATCTGTAATCGTGTAATGGTGAGTGTACTCGTGTAATGATATCTGTACTCGTGTAATGGTGTGTGTGTGTACTCGTGTAATGGTATGTGCGCTCGTGTACTGATCTCTGAGTACACCACGGTGAAATAATACTAGTTGTAGCGTAAAGCCACATTCACGAGTTCTCTGGGGAGGTTCGTGAGTCCATACATACGTCTAGTCTGACCGGCACAAATTAGTATACAACTTGCGACCTGGACTAGACACAAACAATACAATCGTTATAACAATGTTACTAGGTTCACAGCAGTCGCCCAGACACTGCAAACACAAGGTCCAAAGCAGAACAATGATATTCGTGCCAAATACATATTAATCATCTGATGAGTATTTCTTTTTTGCTTCGTTTTAACCTATCATCAAACATGTGTGTATACTTCCTTTGTCTAGTAGTGTATATGTATGTTTAATATGCTATATATCATTTCCCAATTTAATATGACCCCAAGAGTGGTCCTGTGATTCTGGTACCTCGGCAGGTTGGAGGATTCCGTGGCTTCCACTTTGCACTCGAAGCTTTCGGGGACAGTATTCCACTCACTGGGGTCGGCGGCATCAACGAGACCAGCTGCATCAAGCAGGCCGAAGCCGAACGCCGTGTTGACGCGGAATCCGGCGGCGTTTGTCTGCCAGCCCTTGTTGTGGGCGAGGGGGTCACTCTGGGAAGTCCATGCCACCAGGTGTTGAACGTCACGCCACGTCAGGTTGGGGCTGTAGGTACACCAGCGATCAACATAGGTACACAAACACCATCAACAGTCTTAGTTACAGGAGCCGACAACCCTTCACGGTGTTTTTAGATGTAAGACACATTTCAGTCAAACGACTTAGTGTGAAGTACCAAATTGACAGGATTCGTGGATTAAAGACTAAGCGTTAATTGTGATAGTTCTTTTCAGATAATTAATAGTTATTCTAAACATCATACCATGCTGATATTCATACACTGAGAAAGGCATTCAGTGCAATATAGTCAAACAGCGTGACATATGCAGTTATCAGAGATTTTACTGAAGATTACCAGTAACACTTGTATCTTGATATATTGTGGTGTTAGGTTCCGACGTTATGAAAGTCAATCTTTGAGACAGGTATATACAGTCCAATATCTACTAAGGACCAAACCTGTTGCTGGCCAAGACGCAGAGTATCATCATAATGAAATCATACAGATCAATGGTTGATGTCAGTACTGGCATCTTTGTTTTGTAATGACAGAATACTGTCCTCGGTTAGCGTTTGTCAAAGGTCTGACCCTCGCCATATGTTGACTAGTATATCAAAGTTAGTACTCACTTTGCCTCAAGCAAAAGGGCAAAAATCCCAGCAGCCAATGGGGCAGCAGCCGAAGTTCCGGTGTGCATGTCGGTGCACTTGTTCTTCAAGTCAGTTGACACCTGAATGGTCACATTGCGAGTTAGCGAGGGGGTGTGATAGACATTTGAAGAAAAAGATAGCAACGTGTCACTGGAGCCCTAATTATAGTAATGCAGGTCGTCATTCCCAGCTGATCCAGTTAAACATTTCTTGCTAAGATTCAGCGGCCATTTTGGTTTGAGAATGAAGCGACCTCAGCCAGCGATTGGCGCGATTGCAAGCGGCTGGGAGTTACCGCTCTGTTGTTAAGTGAATCGCTGTAAATCGTTGGCAAGCGATTGGCTGTTGGAAACGCACCTCTAACACAGCGCACAGTAAGAGTGGATGCTGGTTTGTCGCAGTCATGCGCACACGCACATCCTTAATTACGTCAGTTCCTGTAGGTCGAAATGTGTCATTCATGTGTAAGTCAACCTACCACTTTTTTGTCGTTGAGCCCACCACTGGAGTAAGTGGTTGCCATGGTGGAGGCGCACCTCTCCCCGTACCAGGGTTTCTCAAACGCTTGTGATGCGCTGCTGATTGAGATGGAGTAGATACTGCCAGTATATCCGTCACAGTCACAGTTGTCCTTCACATGGCCGCCATTACCAGATGCCCACACGTAGATGACACCCTTGCCGTCACGACCCTTGAATAACACCGTTGCCAGATAGTCAGTACATTGAAGGACGATATGATAACTCGCAAATGTATTAGATTAATCAAAATATGTACGCCGTTATTTTTTTTTACAAATATGCCAAACATATCTCGGGAAAATATACGATGACTACTAATGTACAATAATTAGTTGTTTTGGTGAGTTGTGGGGGAATTTCTTACTTCTCGTATGCCTGTCTCGAAGGCCCTCTTGGCGAGTTTGCCTGGCCCTTCCACTGTGTGTCCGTCGTCGTTCGGTCCCCACGAGGCGCTGTAGATGTCCACGTACTTGTGATTGAACTGGATTGCCTCCCCTTCTAACACATCCGTGACCTTCCCGTCCAACATCCGGACCCCTGCAACGCACGTAATCAACATGTTACGGAAGAAGTACATTGATTATTATGTACGTGTCTGACATGACAACCTCGCCACCAGCACGTCAGCTGCCTTCGTCCTAAGATTGACTTTAAGTCCGGAGTTAGATATTGTTCATTCGGCCTATTTAAATTACTTTAGTAATAAGGAAAAGAATTAAAGTTCTACAAGAATAAAAAAAGATTCTATCAAGACACACACACGCACGCGCACTCATATCGTATGATGTTGACGGGGGTGTAAGTATCACCGCATGTTATAACTAATAACTCTATGGTGACGAAACAATCGACTTAAACAGCGATGTTTTTAAGATAAACATTTCATTTATATACCTATTTTTTAAAATTTCGTTATATTCTTTCTGTAATATCTGAACATTTTCAAAACAGTTGTGGCAGATACTGTATATTATCTGCTATCCTGTTCTTAAGCCAACCTCAATTGCTCCCTTGCAGGAAAGACGACGGTTAAGACTCTATTCCTGTAGTCCTAATCCGCGAACGTGCTCCGTATCAGAATAAGGTCATCTGTTTTCATTGCCAGTTACAGAAATAGGCTTTTGCAAGGATTGAAGTATGGGATTTTATGACGCTTCATTGCCTAATTTGGCAGGTTAACACGGCGTGGAGGAGATCTGAAGCTATGCAGCCAAGGCTCCCAGTGTAATACGTATACATACCTCCTATGTTGGCATTAAATGCCACTCCAACACCGCACTTCCCATTGTTAGCCGCCATAGCAACCTCCCCAGCACAGCGAGTACCGTGTCTGTAATATATCAAATTATGATCACGATATTAATTCATGTGATGATGACGATGACGACGACGACGACGACGACGATGATGATGATGATGATGATGATGATATATTACTACTGCTATAACTTCTACTGCTGCAGATGCTAATACTATTATTGCTGCTGATGTTACGACAGTCGATACTTCTACAGCTAAGAATACCTTCATCAAAGCTTCCAAAGTTAGTTCCCCCCTTAACCTAACTACCCTAGCCAGAGCTCACTAAACCTAACCACCCCAGTCTGAGTTTACTTTAGCAAACCACCCCAACCTGAACTCACGCAAATCGGATTTCACTGAACCAAACAAGTCCAGACCGAGCACACTAAACCAAACTACCCGAAGCAGAGCTCACTAAACCAGCCCAAACCAGTCTGAGCTTTCGTAACTAAACCTAGTCAACGCTCTCTCTGAACCAGGCCTCGTCTTTGAGAGCCTGTACCACGAACCAACACCCGCCATTACGTGAATACTGACTTGTTTTCGTTTGTGGGGTCATATCGGGGCATCGGATCGGTGTCGTTTCCGTTCAGGTCAGTGCTGGCCTCAGGATCCTAATGTTAAGAGCGAAAAACATTTCAATGCAAATAGTTCGAACACGTTGTCTTCTGACCTTCAACGTGTGAATAAAAAAGTGCTTTATGCAATGTATCAGTTACGTCACGGCAGGGAACCATGCATTGGCTGCGTACTTTGACATGTGGGGAATCGAACCCGAGATTTCAAGAAGACGAACCAATGATTTTTATTGCATTCTAAATCCCAAATGGCAGTTTGGGATTGCCTTTCCTCAACCACAAGCTGTGTAGCAGTGCGTCTCTGCTTACAAACCTGGATACTTCTAAACGACAAAAAATGTTTCTATACTTACAATGAGTGAGTGAGTTTAATTTTACGCCGCACTCAGCAATATTCCAGCTATATGGCGGCGGTCTGTAAATAATCGAGTCTGGAACAGACAATCCAGAGATCAACAGCATGAGCATCAATCTACGCACTTGGGATGCGATGACACGTGTCAGCCTGATCCCGTTAGTCGCCTCTTACGACAAGCATGGGTTACTGAAGACCAATTCTAAACCGTATCTTCACGGGTTCTATCTTACAATGCTGGATATTTGAACTTACATAGTTAGCTACAAGATCTGTATGGTTCCTCTCGATACCTGAAGAAAAAGTCATAATATATTAAATAAATATGTTTGTCTGTGGCTTTAAGCTAAAAACTTAGTAATCGTATTCGTCTTTATGTTTTGGTCACGTGATTGGCATAAGGTTACAGATACACGAGAGTACGCATGAGCGGAACTCACCGTCATCAAGAATCGTGACGACCACGCCCCTTCCGGTGATGTTCCTGCTCCACACCGGCATGACATGGAGGTCGACCTTGGGGCTGTTGGTGCCTTTGCGGTCATCTCTCTGGGTGATAGAATATAAACCTTCCCGTCAAACAAGCCCTGGCACTGCCGTGTAACACAGTCTAGTGATGTAACACAATACAACAGCTTAATGTTTAACTGCAATCAGAACTGAACGGTTTACAGAGCACAACATGATGCAGTAGAACGACAGCTGCGCTATGACGCGGTATCACATTAGATGTACACAGCATTAAATAGGGCAATATTCCAGCAATACCTCTGTTAAAGTCTACTAAATTTCTGCTATAATAAAACTCAACCCCTACAGTACTACAGCAATCATTCTATCTAATTCTGCAACATCCAAATAGTAATTTTACGAGAATCAAGCAATCATTAATAACAATTGAATTCCGGAAATGTATGCAGTAAATATGTTATAAAACGTACCAAATACCACTGGTCCTTAAACATCGGGTCTGAAAAGCTGTTTTGTATATTTCTGTATAGCCGGTCTTCTGTCGCTCGCTTGTCCTCCAGGTATGCACGTTCTACCATGTATGCCTTTCCCTCCAGGTACCCCCTCTTGCTTCTCACCTTGCTCTCCTGCTGCTCGGCCCATTCTACCTGAAATCACACACGTGTCTACCTGCCATTACAACATATCTACCTCCCATCAGAACATATCTCCCTGTCATCACAAAATATATTCCTGCCATCACAACATATCTACCTTCCATCACAACATATATGTCATCTACCTGCCATCAAACAACATATCATCATCACAACATATTCCTGTCATCACAACATACATATCTACCTGCCATCACAACATATCTCCCTGTCATCACAAAATATATTCCTGCCATCACAACATATATCTATGTCATCACAACATATCTCCATGTCATCACAACATATCTACCTGCCATCACAACATATCTCTATGTCATCACAACATATATTCCTGCCATCACAACATATCTCCCTGTCATCACAACATATCTCCATGTCATCACAACATATCTACCTGCCATCACAACATATCTACCTGTCATCACAACATATCTACCTGTCATCACAACATATCTACCTCCTGCTATCACAACATATCTCTATCATCACAACATATCTCCATGTCATCACAACATATATCTACATGTCATCACAACATATCTACCTACCTCCCATCACAACAACATATCATATCTACCTGCCATCACAACATATATCTCATATCACCTGTCATCACAACATATCTACCTGTCATCACAACATATCTACCTGCCATCACAACATATACCTGCCATCACAACATAGTCATTACCTGCCATCACAACATATCTATCAGTCATCAGAACATATCTACTTGCCATTATAAGTTACACGGTGTTTGGAAAGGGTGTATGGGACTGTAAGACACTTGTGAATTCTGTATTTCCTGCTCAAGGCGCAGGCGAAGGAAATACGGAATTCACAAGGGTCTTACAGTCCCGTACATCCTTTCAAAACACCGTGTGACGAATTTTTTACCCTTACGATCTTCTTATTTAGCTTATCTTTAAACAGCGACATTCAATCATCGGCAGAATGAGACGCAAAACGTTTCTCACAGAAAGGGAGATAACTCGGGATGACTCAGTTTATGATAAAAATGATCGAATTTTAGGTTTTATTAAACGACAAGTGAAATACAGAAACATTTTATTTTTGGGATAGATTTATTGACACAAACAAATAAGAAATTATGGCAACAATTTTATGACTCTGTTTATACTTATAATTGTATACGCCGACGCTACAATTTCGAAGCGATCAGCCGTTTCGCAGCCACATCCATCTAAGGTCAAGGTCATTCGTACAACCCGTGTAGTTTGTCACATGACAGATTTGACGGGCAAATCTGCCAACATGGTTTGGTGTGCTTTGGCTATTGACCAATCAGAATTCGACAAATTTATCTTAAGGGTAATAACACAACATATCTACCTGTCATCAGAGCTTATTACCTTTACCACTGCACCATTGCGCGCCACATGTGTCACACACGGTTATAGCCCGGGAAAGCCACATTTAAGAAAGTTGAAAATGGTGTGGCTCAACCGGCAATGGGCATGGTAGGTACTAAACACCCTTTACGAATTATTCATGATTATACAACCAATCATTTCTTTGAAGCATTTTAACTTATGGGAGGGTCAATTCAATTTTTTATCTTTTTCTGATAACTGTTTGAGATAAGAGCTATTGTTGCCTCAGTTATTATGTTTACATTCATGCTAAAGACTAAAACAAATAATTAGAAGAATGACTATTTGTTGCACAAATATACGTATAAACAGCCACATATGTGACGCCTAATTCGTTCCATTTCATAGCTGTTTTTAAGCAAAATTTATGAACAAACTTTTAAAAAATCAGTAGTTTTGCCACCGTTGCGTTAATGACATTTTGATTTAAGTTGAAACGTCACAATACATTTGATGGAAAATTCGTGTCTAAACTATTCTGCTGATGCAATATACCAATCATACAAACCAAAGTAGTTTACGTGAAGAAATAAAAGTAAAAAACATACAAATAAAAAATTCTAAAGATCAAAAGCTGAAGTTTCTTTTTTCCACAGAATGACCCATTAGCACGTATCATTTTACCTCAGAACATATGTTATGATATGTTAACTAAAAACCCCAACGCGAATAAAGAAGCCGCCCATCACATGTTCACTAAACAAAGGACAAGTCACTAAAACAATTTTAATCCATTGTGATCAATGGGTGAAGCTTATCTAAAAAAAACGGTATTTATTCCCTTGCTCATTGTGGCTTTCGCGGCGATTCGAGGCACCCAGGTTTGTACTCGAAATGCGGCTTTGGCGGCAATTGGTATTTTTCAAATGTGGCTTTCCCGGGCGGAAACCGCCACACACATGTCTACATATAACCACACATGTCTACCTGTAATCTCACACAAGACTAACGATAACCACACATGTCTACCTATAACCACACGTCTACCTGTAATCACACACATGACTACCTGCAATCACACATATGTCTACCCGTAATCACACACATGTCTACCTATAACCACACATGCCTACCTATAACCACACACATGGCTACCTATAACCACACGTCTACCTGTAATCACACGCATGTCTACCTATAACCACATGTCTACCTGTAATCACACACATGTCTACCTGTAATCACACACATGTCTACCTATAAGCACACGTCTACCTGCAATAACACACATGACTACCTATAACCACACTTGTCTACCTGTAATCACACACATGTCTACCTATAACCACACATGTCTACCTATAATCCCACATGTCTACCTATAACCATACATGTCTACCTGTAATCACACACATATATACCTATAACCACACATGTCTACCTATAATCACACATGTCTACCTATAACCACACATGTCTACCTAATAATCACACATGTCTACCTATAACCACACATGTCTACCTATAATCCCACATGTCTACCTATAACCATACATGTCTACCTGTAATCACACACATATATACCTATAACCACACACGTCTACCTGTAATCACACACATGTCTACCAGTAATCACACACATGTCAACCTGTAATAACACACATGTCTACCTGTAATCTGCAACATGTCTACCTGCAATCTGCAATATGTCTACCTACGATCTGCCATTTGTCTACCTACGATCTGCCATATGTCTACCTATAACCACACGTCTACCTGCAATCACACACATGTCTACCTGTAATCACACACATATCTACCTATTACCACACATGTCTACCTGTAATCACACACATGTCTACCTATAACCACACATGTCTACCTGTAATCACACACATGTCTACCTATTATCCGCCACAATTCTACCATAACCTGTCAGATGTCCTATAATCACACGTGTCTACTTATAATCTGCCAGTGTCTACCTATAATCTACCACGTGTCGACCTATAACCCACATGTCTACCTGTAATCACACACATGTCTTCCTATACTCTGCCACATGTCTACCTATACTCTGCCACACACATGGCTACCTATAACCACACGTCTATAACACACGTCTACCTGTAATCACACGCATGTCTACCTATAACCACATGTCTACCTGTAATCACACACATGTCTACCTGTAATCACACACATGTCTACCTATAAGCACACGTCTACCTGCAATAACACACATGACTACCTATAACCACACTTGTCTACCTGTAATCACACACATGTCTACCTATAACCACACATGTCTACCTATAATCACACATGTCTACCTGTAATCACACACATATATACCTATAACCACACACGTCTACCTGTAATCACACACATGTCTACCAGTAATCACACACATGTCAACCTGTAATAACACACATGTCTACCTGTAATCTGCAACATGTCTACCTGCAATCTGCAATATGTCTACCTACGATCTGCCATTTGTCTACCTACGATCTGCCATATGTCTACCTATAACCACACGTCTACCTGCAATCACACACATGTCTACCTGTAATCACACACATATCTACCTATTACCACACATGTCTACCTGTAATCACACACATGTCTACCTATAACCACACATGTCTACCTGTAATCACACACATGTCTACCTATTATCCTCCACAATTCTACCATAACCTGTCAGATGTCACCTATAATCACACGTGTCTACTTATAATCTGCCAGTGTCTACCTATAATCTACCACGTGTCGACCTATAACCACATGTCTACCTGTAATCACACACATGTCTTCCTATACTCTGCCACATGTCTACCTATACTCTGCCACATGTCTACCTATAATCTGTCACATGTCTACCTATAACCCCAAATTTTTGCATGTAGTCAGACACGTGTAATCAGGTGCGTATTTACCAAATATCACACTCACACCAACCTATAATTGCACAAGTGTGCCTACAATCAAACACACATGTACCTACAGCCAAACACATGTGTGCCTACAATTAAACACATGTGGTCCTGCAGTGTCACACATGTAAACCTCACTCATCCGCGGCTGTGTTTAACAGACACTATACAACATATAGGTCTTTTATTAGCTTTCTGTTATTTTCGAGTTACCTTTAAACTGATTTTGATTTGTTACAAAATTATCATCACACTTGTGGAAGTGACCTATTCCAAGTAACACATGGATGTTAACAGCGGCTTTTAGTAGTAAACCCTCTCTCCCAATTCAGGAAATTGTGAGATCTTTCTATTGGAATATTCCATTATAGTCTTTGTGGTGGCAGAAGCCGTCTCCTCCACGTTTCCCGACTGTCACGTCGTGCCGGAAGACGTAAGCGCGGCGTCATTGACTTGACCTGTTCCCCGGATAACAGACGGCAAGGACGACTCGATTTTCTATTAACACAGCTCGGGACCATAAGCAATATCGGCTAGTGAGTGCTTTCGACGCATGCACGAATATTACGCGATTACCAGTCATTGCGGAAAATTGTATTTCCGTGTTGGAAGGAACTGTTAAGAGTATTGACTATTTTCAGGAGGTCGCAGATTCCCTGATATTTTTAGGGGAGGTGACTAGACGTGACGGGCGTGACACCACCTCGACACATGG